ATTACACAGCAGGCCATAGATAGCCAGTTATTCCAAAGGCCTGTAGCTCCCAAATACACATAACACAGGCTAGAGAGGGGGACAAAAAGAACAGAAACAATACCAACAAGCCAATTCAGCTCTGATGGAGAGCTGGACTGGGATGCTATGATGACCAGAGATGAGCCACGAGACAGGACACAGGACATAATCACGGAGACACATGTGGTCTGGCGTCCTGATGCCTATGCCGTTCCATGCCTAAATAGGGTCAGGCCAGGGGGCCTGGGAACAGGAGATTCACAGCCCCAGACACTGTACTTACAGGTTCAGTAACCTATCAGTCAAGTGCCTACCCCTGCCTCCAGGGATCCAGGTATGCCCAGCCCCTAAGGGAGGGGGCATCACTCTCCCCACCATTCTCTGAAGCAGAGCCCTCCTAGCTCACCTTGAGCCAGGCATCTGCATCTCAAAGGATGGCTTGTCTCACCTTTAGGCCTTGGAGCTGGGTGGACAGCCCCCATCTCCTGCCTAGACACCAGCATGGCTACAAGAAGTTATCTTGGTTCAGCCACCCTTACTTCCTATCATTTACCCAAGCTTATTTAGGAAACGGCAAACAGCAACGTGTCCCAGGCTCACCCACCTTCCTCACGCAGATGCTCAGCCCAGCCTGTGGGTCTTCCTGGTGGGGCTCAGCAGGCTGGGCCTCCCTGCCAGCAGCTGGGAATCCCACAGAAGCTCTGTCACCCCCTCTTAGCAACATCCATCCCCCTGAGGAAGCATGTGCTCCCAGCCATCCCTGAAGCGAGGCTCTATGTGGGAAACCAGAGCCAGTTTCATGGTTCCATGCGTCTTCTCCAGAGTAGCCATTTATCACCTGCTCCCCCCTCTTCCCACCCCTCCCACAAGCCTTCTTGCCCAAACCTCACACACCACCATCTCCCCATCTGGCTTACATGCTGTCACATTCATTGATTTGGAAAAAGGAGGCCACTGTCCTAGTAGTAGAGCACAGTGATTAAGTCCTCAGACTCTACATTGTGCCTCATGGCTCTTCTCTACTACTCACTGGCTGTGTGGCATTGGACAGTTGCCTAACCTTTCTGAGCTGTGCTTCTTGATTACTACCATGAAGATCCCAATAGAACTTGTTCGTATAATTCCCCTGGGGATTAGAGGAATCAGTTCTGGATGGTGCTTTACAATGGGCTCAGCCTATCATCGATGCTCAAGAAAAGGACAGATTTCCTCATTGTTTTCATCACTGCAAATGAACCAGACTTCTTAGCAGGCTAGCAGTGCCACAGGTGTTTAGTCTGTGCCATTTGGCATCCAAATAACCTCAGCAGATTCTGTTGCTGGGCACTTTGGCTGGGCCAGGTCCATTTCCAATCCTGTGCCCAAAGCTGCATTAGCATTTTGAGGGACCACAAAATAACTTTATCCCCAAGGAAGAGGCAACCTCCTGGCAAGAGAAGACTCAAGGTAATTAGTTTAAAATAACACAGGATAGCTTAAAAGTACTAAATTGTTCGGTGCAGGCTATAATTGTGTTAATAGGAAGAACCATTTGTATAGCATTTGAGAGTTTACCCAGCACTTAGAAATCCATTAGCTCATGTAATCCTCAAAGCAAAGCTGCAAGGTAAGTATTCTGATAAGCAGGAGAGGAAACTGAGGCTCACAGACATGAAATCACTTACTTGTGCTCACATTGCCAGGAAGTAGATGAAGTGGAAAAGACTTCACTGGAGTCTAATTCACTTGTTTATTTCCATTCAGTGGTATGTGTGTATTATGTGTGTGTGTGTGTATGTGTGTGTACACAAGTGTACTAGTCAGCTTCAGCTGACATAGCAGCATATCACAGACTTCAACAAGCAGATGTTTCTTTCTTCAGTGTTGTGGAAGTCCAAGATGAAGTTATAGGCTCAGGTGGGTCTCTCCCTCTCTCTCTCTCTCTCTCTTCTCTTTCCTCTTTCTCTCCCCTCCTTTTCTCTCCCTCCCCGCTCCTCCTTCCCTCCCCCACCTGCAGGAGATATATTCTCTGGGACTTCACTGTCTTTCCTGATGCCTGCACCTATCTGGGCCCTCATTTCCTCTATTTATGAAGACACCAGTCTGGTTGGATTGGGGTCCACCCTAAAGACATACATTTAACTTCACTACCTTTAAAAATTCATTGTGCATTACAACAGCAACAGAGTCATCTGGGGACACAGTTCACCGCATCATGGTTTGTGTGTGTTTACAGGGGTCGGTGAGTCTTCAGACTACATTTCCGGGCCTCCTCCTCTGTGTCCCACAAGACTCCGTGTAGCAAGTGTACCCCATATTTCCTGTTTCCAGTCACTTTCTGCTGTGTCCACTGGCTTTATTCTGAACCCCTTTCACAGGTGTGGAGGCCTCTCAGAGGCCCAGAGTCATCCAGAGGACAGGGAGGTTCTTGGTAGCCTTCAATCCTGCCCTGAGGTCCCCAGAAATGTGGCGGTGAACAATGAGGAGCCATAGCTAGGTCTGCCTGAATCACACACCAGAAAAGCCCTGTGCGCCCCCCTCCCCCTCCCCCCTCCCCCTGTACCAGGTGAGCCTCCTAGAGAGACACCACCAAGTTCCCAACTCATCCCAAGCCAGGGATGGAGGGGAAGGACCAGGAGGGGATCCTGCCAGGAAGGGTGAGAGCGGCTGACAGCAGAGGGCGCCCCGCAGCAAGGCTAGGGTCTATACAGGAGGAGCTACGATGCAACTCCTAGCCACAATGCTGGTGTCTGTCTCTCCACTCCCTAACAGTGGCACCCTGGCAGATCACCTCACCTCTCAGGGCCTTGGACTTCTCACCTGGAGATAGGGAAACAGAAGGACTCACTCCACTTGTCATCATCAGGATTAAATGGTTTTTTTTGGTAATGTGTCAACTGGCCGATAGTAGGCGCTATTAGGGATACATAATGGCTTTCACGGGCCTTTTCCTCTTTTTTTTTTTTGTTGGTCGTGCGAATTGAACTCTGGGCCTGGTTGCTGTCCCTCAGCTCTTCAGCTCAAGGTGAGCGTTCTACCACTTGAGCCACAGTGCCACTTCCGGCTTTTTCTGTTCATATATGGTGCTGAGGAATTGAACCCAGGGCCTCATGCATGCAAGGCAAGCACTCTACCACTGAGCCACCTTCCCAAACCTGGGCTTTTCTTCTTTAAAAAAAAAATTTTTTTCTTACATATAGTGGCTCACACCCGTAATCCTAGCTACTCCAAAGGCAGAGATTGGGAAGATCATAGTTCAACAACAGTCTGGTAAAAACATTCAAACAATTCCATCTCAGCTAATAAAAGTTGGGCACGGTGGTATGTACCAGTCATTCCAGCTACATAAAAAGCATAAACAAGCTGAACACCAGAGACTCACACCTGTCATCTTAGCTACTCAGGAGTCTGAGATTTGAAAATTGCAGTTTGAAGCCAGCCCAGGCAAGAAAGTCCAAGAGACTCTTATCTCCAATAAACGACTCAGAAAAAGCTGGAAGTGCTGCTGTGGCTCACGTGATAAAGCGGTAGCCTTGAGCAAAAGAAGCTCAAGGACAGCTCGCAGGCCTAAAACTTAAGCCCTAGGACTAGAAAGTGTGTGCACATGCATGCACACACACAGACACAAGCACACACACACATGAACACAAGTGCGAGTGCATGCACATACACATACACACACACACGCGCGCACACACACACGCGCACACACACACACACACACACACACACAAAGCATAAACAGGAGGATCCTAAATCAGACCAGTTGGGGCAAAAAGCAAGACCTTACTTTTTTAAAAAATGAAATATATAAAAACTAAAAGCAAAAAGGGCTGGAAATATGACAAGTGGTAGTACAAGTGCCAGGCCCTGACTTCAAACCACAGTATTACCAAAATGTATATTGTACAACAGTGTTAGTTTATAAAAATTAAAACATCTTCATTGGCCTTGAACAGTATGTGACCCCCTAAGCATTAGACCTGTTGTACCTTATCATAAAAGGCTCCAGGGGTTCTGTTGGTGTCTGCTACTGTGGATGTCAAGGTCTCTTAGAAACTGTCAAGTGTTATGGCCTGTAAGGGGTCACTGTCATCTGGAAATGACAGAAGATCAAATGGTAAAGCACCTGCCTTGCAAGTTCAACCCTAGTACTGCAAAAGGAATAGACTCATCCCACCCTCTAGGATCCAGGATCCTGCCCACCCCTCATGGTGCTGAATGCCAAGCTTTCCAGCTTCTCCCTTCCTCTCTGGACACCACAGAGATACCAGGCAGAGATCAGATCTGGGACAGGGAAGGGTCTTTTAGGCCATAGTTTCAGTAGGTAGGATCACAGCAGCCCTAAGGATGGGGCAACAGCATCTTCAGTAGCAAAATCAATCAATCAATAAATGATAGATAGATGATAGGTAAACAGATGATAGACAGATGATAGATATGAAGATAGATGACTGATAGATGACAGATAGATAGATAGATAAATAGATACCTTCACCATAGATAGATAGACACCTTCACCCCTTCCAGAGGTCCAGGACCCCCAGCATCCAAAGCACAATCCTGACATTGATATTCATGGGTTTTCGCTTGGCCTAAAATGCTCCTTGGCATCCACAGGATTTCAACATGAACCCAGTAACATAAATAAGCAGCTGCCAGCCAGCAGCTAAAAAAGAGAGGGCAACCTGACTCACTTTATCAACTTGACTTGCATGTCACTGAGGCTTTCTGTCCATACAGCTTGGATCTGGTGATCCCCACTTTAACCCTTGTCCACATCACAGGCACCGGGACCCCCTTCTCCCACCTGCTCCGCTGCCTCCATAAAGCCAGGCAACCTGAGCAGCCACACACCTCAGCAACGCACTCCACAGCCACGGGGCTGCAGTGATCTGAGAATCTCGTCAGACTGAACAGCACATTTATTCTTGAGATTCTCATCATTTCTGCTGACAAGACAGCTTGCACATGGCTTGGGAGCCAGATAAACTCCTCGGGAGAAAGGGTCCGAGGTAGCTCAAGGGCGCCCCCTCCTGGGATCAGAACATCCAAAGAAAACCAACTCCAGTAAGACTATTCCTAGGGCATGACTGCCTGACCCTTCCACCTCTGGCTCAGGACCTCGATGGTGTCCCGAAGCATCTGTGTCCAGTTATCCTCTCTCCGCATTGGGGTAGAGCGTGTCTCCTTATGCTCCAGGGCTAGGATCTCCGCAGGTGGGCTGGGGCTCAGCCCTGCAGCGAGGGCTGCTTCTGGGAACTTGGCTGCAGAGGCAGGGGCCAGGCAGCACCGGGGAACGCTGTCAAGGGATGGGACAGGCGTGGGCAGGAGGATAGGTGAGAGAAGAGCCAGAGGACAGGGAAGGAGGAGGCAGAAGAGAAAGAAAAGGAATGAGGGACACAGGAGGAGGGGAGGGCATAAGGGGAGACCAAGGGACCGTTAGTACCTTGAACTTGCCCCTACCTGGCAAGGTGCTCTTGGTTGAAGGCTTAGCTCACCAACCAGCACACACACACACACACACACACACACACACACACACACTGTCCCTGAGATACAGCTCTTGGGCACAGTTTTATACACACACACACACACACACACACACACACACACTGTCCCTGAGATACAGCTCTTGGGCACAGTTCCACACAGTACCCATCACACCCACCAAAGCCATCATCCACAGTTCCATCCCATCTCCTCACCTGGGAAAGAGGAGACCTCTGAAAGTCAAAGCCTCCCCACCCCCCAGGTACCCAGACCAGGTACCACGGGATCTATACCTGGGCTGTTGCCTGTCTGTCTGCTGGTAATGGTAGCTCACAGCCACGGCAGAATGAGGGCACAGCTGGTACTGGTTCTCCTCCCAGCAGCGGGCCATGGTCCTGGTGATGGCTTCATCTGACACCGACTCAGATGTCACTGCCTCTAAAAGCTGAAGATTACCAGGGCCAGAGAGGTGGGTGTCAGGGCTAGAGAAGTAGGGAAAGAGGGCTAAAAGCCCATTCTACACAACACAGACCAACACCGCTAACACAGCTGAAACCGTTATACTAAATAGCTGACTCTGTTCAGGATAAAAATCAGTTGCCTAATGTCTGGGCTTTTTGGTTTGTTTTGATGTTTGAGATAGAGACTTGCTATGTAGTCCAGGCTGGTTTTGAACTCAATCTTCCTGCCTCCACTTCCTGAGTGCTGCGATTACAGACAGGAGCCACCATGCCTGGCTAGTTCCCCAAGTCTGAGCTGATTCATTCATTGAGTTGTAGGTCAATGTATCTAGTTGGAATTTGGCTCACAAATCCAATTAGTTGCCAATAGTCTGACATGGACTAGGTCAAAGGCAGTCAAACATTTTCACCATTTAGTGGGAATATGGTACTGAAAATTAAAGGTACTTTGAGAAATCCTATATTTTATGCATAACTAACCATCACTAGGTTGTACTGAAATAAAAGCAGTCCTTTCTAACCAGATTCCTAAAATAAATCAGTTTATTTATTTTCTAAACAATAAACTCTCATTCTGAAAGAAAGAGAGACAATGGAGGGGGTGGAAGAAGAGTTCCACAGGAGCAAGTCTGCTCAGACTGGAGGGGCACAGTGGCTTTGAACTTGTTTGCCAGTTGTTGTGATTACTGGAAATAAACAGCCACAATAAATAAAAACAATGTTACTGGATTAAGTCATGAATTACCAGGCACTCTACAAAATGCCTCACAGGTATTATTGGGCTTAAATCTCCCCATCATGAGACAAGCATTTTTTTTTTTTTTTTGTTGGTCGTGGGGCTTGAACTCTGGGCCTGGGTGCTGTCCCTCAGCTCTTCAGCTCAAGGCGAGCGCTCTACCACTTGAGCTACAGCGCCACTTCCGTTCTGGTGGTTTATTGGAGATAGGAGTCTCATGGTCTTTCCTGCCCGGGCTGGCTTTGAACCACGATCCTCAGATCTCAGCCTCCCGAGTAGCTAGGATTACAGGCGTGAGCCAGCAGCGCCCGGCTGAGACAAGCATTTTTATCCTTGTTTTATGATGAGGACATGGAGGAGCATAGTTTAAGGAAAAGTCCAACATCTCACAGCTGAATTGAGGTTAGGTCTGGCTGACTATAAACCATGTTTATATTGCCTCTTCATTACATGCCTGTAATCCTAGCTACTTGGGAGGCTGAGATTTGAGGATCCTAGTTTGAAGCCAGCAAGGGAAGAAAAGTCTGTGAGACTCTTATCTCCAATCAATTACTACAAAGCCAGAAGTAGAAGTATGGCTCAAGTGGTAGAGTGCTAGCCTTGACCTCAAGCTAAGGGGCAAGCCCCCAGTACACCCACCACCACCACCACCACACACACATCAACACAAATAAGGTGACTGTGAAAGTGTTTGTTTCATAGTATATGTAAAAAAAATTAGATATCCCCTCCCCTTACCCTGACTTCTAACCTCTCAGTCCATTGTATGGCTACATCCTTTGCTTTCCCTATGCTGTATAGATAGGGACCAACCTTGCTGTGCAGTTCCTTGGGTAGAAGCAGAGTGTGCGTGCTTTCAAATTTCTCCATGAGGCTTCTTGTCACCTGGCTGTTACAGCCAGAGTGCAGCCAGAAGATTCTCTCCATGTTGTAGGGTACCTGGGCAGAAAGGCAGAGTCCCTCCCAGGTCATGTTGATTTCAGCTTTCATCCAGTCCCACCCCACTAACACTTGAGTCAAGCTGTGCCTTCCCCGTCAGCCCACCTGGATGTCCATTGCTGATGCCAAGGTTGGTGTGACCGCTTCAGACAGAGAGAAGTCTCCCCGCTGGATGGTCCTATGGATGATGTCATTGTGGTTCACTCCCACCACCAGGCGGATGGGCAGGCCCATCTTCTGAGCAATGCACCCGGCTTGAGACAGCACAGGAGACAACAATGTTTCAGAAACAAAAACAAAATTGGTTAAATTTGGTTTCATCAAAATGGAGAGACTTTTGTTAGACTTGCTTTGTGTTTCCAATGACACTTATTCTGAAAAATCAAGGTATAGATTGGGGAAAGAATTACAAATCACATATCGAACAGAGATCTATATCCAGGATATATAAAGGACTCTTACAACTAAACAATAAAAATACAAGTAACTCAATTAAAAAATAAAAGATCTGAAACAGAAATTTCTCTAGCCAAGAGTCAGGTGCCAGTGGTTCATGCCTATAATCTCAGCTACTCAGGAGGTTGAAATCTGAGGATAGTGGCTGGAAGCCAATTTGGGCAGGAAAGTGCATGAGATTCTTATCTCCAACTGACTACCAAAAAAAAGCTGGAGATGCCACTGTGGCTCAAAATGATAGAGTGTTAGCCTCACGTGAAAAAGCTCAAGGAAAGCATCCAAGCCCCAAGTTCAAGCCCCAGGACCAGCATCAAAAAGAAAAAGAAAAAAAGAAAAGAAAAAGATAAACAAATGATTTTCTAGATGCTGGTAGCTCGTGCCTATAATCCTAGCTACTCAAGACTGAGGTCTGAGGATTGTGGTTTGAAGCTAGCTGGGACAGACAAATCTGTAAGACTTGCTCTTACCTCTAATTAACCAGCAAAAAATTGGAAGTGGAGGTGTGACTCAAGTGGTAGACCACTGGCCTTGAGGGAAAAGCAAAGCAAGGGCATGGCCCTGAATTTATGCTCCAGTTACCAACACACACACACACACACACACATACACACAATGATATACAAATGTTCAAGGAGCATATTCAGCATCATTAATCATCAAGGAAACACAGACCAAAACTATGACCTATCACAGCATACTCACTAGGAGGCTTATAAAATAAAAAGCCATATTGTTGGTGAGGACATGGAAATACTAGGAACTTCCCTGGTAGGGAACAACCAGTTCCCTACTAGGACCTGGTAGGAGTATAAAATGGCATACTCCTTTGGAAAGCAATCTGGCAGTTCTTCAGAATATTCAACACATAGTTACTATATGTGTTGTGGTTCTCCTAGTAGGAACAAACTCAAAGGAACTAAAAGCACTAAAAGCACAGGTCTACATAAAAACTTATACGCAGGTGTTCACAGCATCATTAATCACAGCCAAGATGTAAAACAATTGAAATGTCCTGCAACATACAATAAATCCATGCAGCAGAATAAACAGTGACGGGCTACAACGTGGATAAACTTTGAAAATACAATGCTAAGTGAAAAAAATAGATTAAAGAAAAGCCACCAAGTATGTGAGTCCAGTACTATAAAGTATCTAGAACAGAGAATTCAGACAGACAAATAGCCGGGTGGTTGGCATGGGCTGATGTGGGGCATGGTCAAGGGCACGTGGGAGTAGCTGCTACCAGGTTCAGGGATATAAATGTTATACAGCTGATTACAGTGATGGTCACACAAATCTGGAACATACTAAAAGCACTGTACAGTTTAAATGTGTGAATGATACACAAATCATAGAACAAAACAATGGAGGAGAGAGGGAGAGAAAGAAGAGAGGAAGGGAGGGAAAGGGGGGAGAGACAGAGACAGAGACAGAGAGAGCATATCACCCTGTCCCGCTCTATGTGCCTGCCACCTACCAGGTACCAATGCACATGTGCATTCTTGTGAGACAACCCATTTGTGGAAGCGGAAATGAAGGTGCCAAGGGACTGGAATGTCCTGTCCAAAGACCTTCTGAGTGGCAGCATCCAGGTGCAAGGTTCATCTAAGTCCTGGCCATGCATTTCCCCTAACTCAACCTCACAGAAGCCGTGGCTGTGGATGGTGCTTCCTAGAGATACACTGAGGAAGGACAGAGTGGCACCTCTTGTTTGCATGGAACTAACAAGGAATTCCTAATCCTGAGCGATGGAACACCCTAATATGTGGCGTAGCCTTAGGAGGGCGGAGCCTTCTTCCATGGGTCTTCCTCTGGGGACTGGTTAGGGGAGTTAAGGATACCTACACCACCCCAGTATCACTCTCAATTTTGCAAAGCACATTCATATTCTTATTTCTTTTGATCATCATGAAAACATATGACATCCTTAAATAACAAGAATAAATGAAAGGGCTAGGAATGTGGCTTAGTGGTAGAGTGCTTGCCAAGCATGCATGAAGCCTGGGTTCGATTCCTTAGTACCACATAAACAGAAAAAAGCCAGAAGTGCTGCTGTGGCTCTAGTGGTAGAGTGTTTGCCTTGAGCAAAAGAAGCTCAGGGACAGTGCCCAGGACCTGAGTTAAAGCCCCAGGACTGGCAATAAATAAATAAATAAATAAATAAATAAATAAATAAATAAATAAATAAATAAATGATAAATGGAAGCTCAGCTCAAGAAGCTCCAGAATGTTGGGTGTCAGTGGCTCATGCCTACAATCCTCGTTACTCAGGAGGTTGAGACCTGAGGATCCTGGTTGGAAGCCAGCCTAAGCAGACAAATCCAAGAGATTCTTATCTCCAACTAACCATCAAAATGCTGGAAGTGGAGCTGTGACTTGAGTGGTAGAGTTCCAGCCTTGAGCAAAAAAAGCTAAAGGATAGTACCTAGGCCCTGAGTTCAAGGTCAAGGCCAATCTCCCTCCCCACCCAAAAGAAGGTTCCAGATGCTAAAAGATAACCAGCTTCCAACAGAGCAATTCCAGGCAGGAACATCCTTGGCAAATGTTGGTCATGTGTTTACTTTATGCCTGGTGCTGTGGAGGGTGCAGGGCTGCTGAGAACCTTAGCTTCACAGCTGTAAGCAGCACTAGGCGCTGAAGGGTAATATGAAGGAGAAGGGTAGACTTCACCCCATGGGTGGTAAAGAAGTCTATGGCCCTTGATTAATCCCCACTCCACTAGTGAAAGAAGTGGAGGAGTTTCCTAACCACTAAGTTGCTTTCATGGTGTCACCCTCTGAAGAAATGCCAGAGACAGAACTACCAAAAATAGTAATACCATAAGCCTTGAGGGTTGTTGAGGACATATGCTCTAAATCACCCAGGCTGTAATCCTGGCTCTGCCACCGACCAGCCATGGTACCAGGGACTAGCTGACCTTGTCTTCTCCTCTAGTTCTTCATGAGAAAGTAGAAATCAAACTATATCTGTGGGCTCTGAATCTTCAGATTCAACCAATGATGGATGGAAAATAATCAATAAAATTGTCTGAACATGTAGACTTTTGTTCCCTATACTGTATTATTATTATTCCCTATACTATAAAAGTATAACAATGATTTAGATAGAATTTCTATGCTGATAAGTTATCATAACTCATCTAGAGATGATTCCAAATGTACACACACCTTAGATAAAGGACTTGAGAACATCAGTGAATTCTGGTACCCATGGGGGTCCTAGAACCAATTTCCATTCATAACAAGGAGCGACTCTCTCATCTTCCTTACAGGTCTGCATTTTGTAAGGATGAATTCATTCATTACAGGTATTTAGCACTGTTCTCAATATATATACAACTGTTTATGGATATTAATTATTACATGGGAAATTTATTTTAAGGGTATGCAGCTATAAAGTTTATCTTTACAAAGTTCATTCACACACCAAGAATCTTGTTTGCTCCCCACAGAAGTCCTGAGATATATGATAAGTGATTCACTCTTTTTACAGCCCCAGAGCATCTGAGGGACCGCCATATCGCCAATCAACTAGCAAAGGGCAGATCTGGGGCCAGAATCCTAAGTCCAGAATGCTTTCCACCTCACGTGGTATCTGGGTAGTGTCCAGGAGAGGGAACGCATCATGCCACGTAGCCACCGCCCCCACAGCAGGCAGCTGACTGGGCTGGGAATAAAGTCCGTATTTCTGGGAGGATACACTGCCAGACTCCCCAGCTGAGCCTTCACTTTGTTTCTCCACACTCGGCTGAATGAAGGAGAATGCAAGGTCAAGTTGCTAAAGCACCCTGGGGTAAAGCCAAGGCAGCAAGAGTCTAGGGTGTCTATGGGGAAAGCACACACACACACACACACACACACACACACACAGAGCAGGAAAATCTGAGACATTCTTTGTGGTTTCCTGTCACTTTCAGAACTAGGACATGACCTTCATGCTCTTTATATTTTCAGCCATAGGACAGCAAGAAAGACTGAATGTTTATCTGAAAAGTCTCCCTGCTCCCTGGGGTCTCCTTACCTGCAAGGTTACCGGCAGCCCCTGTTGGCACAACCACTTCCACAAGAGGGAGGGGGTGAGTGTCCATGGAAGGGGTGCACTGGAAGTAAGCGAAGAAGTGGTGAGCTATTTGCACAAGGACCCGAGACCAGTTGATGGAATTCAAGCTCATCAGGTTGTGCTTCTTGACAAAAGCCACGTCGGCGAACACAGCCTTAATGGGCTCATCCAGTTCATCGCTGTTTCCTTCCACTGGGGGAAGAGAGAAGAGGGTGGTTCTCAGAGGCAAGAAGCCGCCCTAGGCAGTCAGCACTGGACTACACTGGTACCCTGGGAGCTGAGCCCACCCACCTGAGACCATCGCTAAACCTCATGGCTTAGCCATGACTTTCCAGACTCAACAAGAAGCTTCTCAGGGATACTAGCCATAGCTCATATTCTGGTGATCCTAGATATCTTCCCTTGCTTATGATAAAAGAAAATGTAGCCAGAACAGTTTGTAATAGTTCTATCATTATATAAAGTAAGATATAACATGGCAGCCTTTGGGGATATTGGAAAAAGTATTTTGCTTCATATTCCATGCCTACTTCTCCCTGACTTCTGTGAAGGAAGAAAAGTGTTAGCCAATGGGAAGAGTCTGAGACTCTGAGAGGAAGGTCCTTCACTCTGTACTTCTCCCTGGGTTAGAGGGAAACGGTTGCTAGTCCCCTGTGGTCTGCCCTCATTTAGGTCACAAGAGTGAGGTCCTTTCTTCTGTTCCATGTATCAGATAAGCTTGCTTGGGAAAGACTTCTCTCTGAACTGTTATACATTAGCTTAATTTGTGTGTGTGTGAGTATGCCGGTCCTGGGGCTTGAACTCAGAGCTTGGGCATAGTCCCTGACTTTTTATGTTCAAGGCTAGCATTCTATCACTTGAACCACAGTTCCACTTAATTGGAGATGAGAGTCTCATGGACTTTCCTGTCAGGGCTGGCCTCAAATCCTGATCCTCAGATCTCAGCCTCCTGAGTAGCTAGGATCATAAGCATGAACCATCATCACCCAGCCATTAGCTTCATTTTAAGCGAATCATTAGGCAAATTTGTTAGTGACTTGTGCACTAGTCTAACAAATGTCCCCCAAGATAGCAGAACCAGTAATTAGCCAATACTGATTCTTATGTGACACTTGGGCCTTTCTCCATTGGATCCATCCAGGAAGGTCAGGGAGTGAAATTGGCTGGGGGAAGTGCTAGAGCAAGCAACAAGGTTGTGAACCAGTCTCCCCTAACCACTGTGTAATAGCAATGAGGTTGGGGGACTGACTTCAGGTTCAGATGTCAACCCCCAAATGCTGGATCCAGTTATAGTATTCCTTTATCTTTGCCAGGAGCAAGCCAAGCATTTTTGTGAAACCAGGAACTGGCACCAAGATGGACATAGGATAAATTCAGGCAGCGAGAGGCGAAGGGACATATACATGACGTTCTAGAGAAAGATTCACTGCTTCTAAGGAAGAGTCACTGCAGCTCCCAGGCCCTGAGTTCAAGCCCCAGGACCAACACACACATGTATGCTTATGTGCGTGCACACAAACACACACACCGCTATATTTCTCAAAATATGCTTTATAACCATCTAATACTTCCTGAATAAAATTAACTATAATTAGAGAAAAAAGGAAGAGCCATAGAAAAAGAGAGAATTGGTTACCCAGAATCACCATCATGTGACCACAACAGGAACAATACTCAGGAGTGCGGAAGGTAGAGAAAACAATTGCAAGAACTGGTGTCCTAAGGTACCACTGAGCTACTGACTCCACCAAGGAAGAGCACACGCCACCTCTGGAGGACAAGTTATAGAATCTAGGAATTATTCTTCTTTAAGTTGGTTTGAATTTTCTGTTATTTCCTGCCAAAAGCATCTTGAATAATAGTATTAATTGAGATCTAATTCTTGCTGATTTAACACATCATGTCCACACATAATAAGCCAGCTGATCCACACTGACTGCTCACCAGTCTAAGGGAAAGCACTTATTTGTTGTTAGTTTCTGAACTTAGCTACATTCTCCTTGAAACAAAAACAGTAAGCTCTGGAAAGGAAAATTTGAACAGTGATGTTTATAAGCAACTTTGATTTGATTATGCATTATTTTCTTTTTTTTTTCTGTCGGTCGTGGGGCTTGAACTCTGAGCCTGAGCACTGTCCCTCAGCTCTTCAGCTCAAGGCTAGTGCTCTACCACTTTAGCTACAGCGCCACTTCCGGTTTTCTGGTGGCTTATTGGAGATAAGAGTTTCATGGACTTTCCTGCCTGGGCTGGCTTTGAACCGAGATCCTCAGATCTCAGCCTCCTGAGTAGCTAGGATTACAGGCGTGAGCCACCAGCGCCCAGCTGCATTATTTTCTTAAAATTCGAAATATATCCTCAGCGGACACTGGTGACTCATGCCTATAATCTTAACAATGCAAGAGGCTTGAGATTTGAGGATCAAGGTTTGAAGTTAGCAGGGACAGATAAATCCAAGAGACTCTTCTTTCCAATTAACCAGTAGAAAGCTAGAAGTGGCTGTGCATGGGTGACTCATACCTGTAATACTAGCTACACAGGAGGCTGAGATTTGAGGACAATTGTTTGAAGCCAGCCCAGGCTTAACACATTTGTCAACGACTTAGAATAAAATGCAAATCATTTGGCTTAGTTGCAGCTCTGCCTTATTTCCTACACACAGGCCACTAGCAGGTAAAACCTACCAGGAGGTGGCATTCTGTGAGGTATGGCGTTAAACCTGCACTTTCTAGGTTGAGCTGTTATGAGTTTATGCATCTGTCACCTCTAGTGGTTGAGAAGATTGCGTAGTCAGAAACTTGCGCAGAACTACACCAATGCATTTATATCACCTATATCAGAAAAGGACTGGTAGAGAGAGAGAAAGAGGAGTAAGAAAGATGCTCAGCAGTGTGTCCTAGGCCATCTGCCAAAACAGACTCAGCCAAGGCAGGCCCTGATGCTCTGGAGCCTCTGCCCAGCACCACCCACCTCCAAACACGTGGACATTGTCCTTCACCACTGTTGTCATCTGGAGTTCCTGAATCTTTGAGCAGTGACCTTTGGGCAGCAGAACAATGATGTCAACATTCTTTGCCCCTTGGACACTCTCAATGGCAGCACTCCCAGTGTCCCCAGAAGTTCCTGGATGGGAAGAAAGGAGACATCTCCCCTTTAGAAGAAGGGAGAGGGGTAGAAAAGGAAATAAGTGGTCCTTAAAGTATTGTTGCCAAATTCAGTAACAATTCCATTTAGGATCCACTGATCCATAGCTAAAATGTGTGCTGTGTGTGTGTGTGTGTGTGTGTGTGTGTGTGTGTGTGTGTGTATGTGTACCGGGGCTTGAACTCAAGGCCAGAGCTACTGCTTAGCTTTTTTTTAAGGCTGGCATTCTACCATTTGAGCCACAGCTCCACTTCCAGCATTTTTTGCTGGTTGATTAGAAATAAGAATCTCACGGACTTTCTTATCTGAGCTTGCTTCAAACCTTCTCAGATCTCAGCTTCCTGTGCAGCTAGGATTAAAGGCGTGAGCCACTGGTATACTCCTCACAATCTTATGTATTCTTAAAAACATTACTAGCTGGGAATTGGTGGTTTACACCTGTAATTCCAACTACTCAGAAGGCTGAGATCTGAGGGTCATGGTTTGAAGCCAGCTTAAGCAGAAAAGTCCATAAGACTCTTATCTCCAACCCCTACTCAGAAAAAGCTGGAAGTGGAGCTGTGGCTCAGAGTGGTTAAGCACTAGCCATGAGTACAAAAAGGCTCAGGGACAGTACCCAGACCCTGAGTTCAAGCCCCAGGACCAGAAAAAAAGAAACAAAAAATATTACTTTGAGAAGCAGCCATAACCTCTACTAGCATGACAAAGGGTTCCCCAGTGCCAAAACAGATTAACAATCTTGTTCTAGAATTGATTCCATAAGAGACTCAATTGAGAGCATCCTATAGGTGGACACTACCATCAGCACTAAGGGACCCCCCCCCCACTACATACCTACAACCACAACAACATGCTTCTCCCTCTTTTCCAGGAAGTATTGCAGAAAGTGAGCTGTGCAGCTCAGGGACAGGTCCTTAAAGGCAAATGTGGGTCCATGCCACAGCTCCAATACGTTCAGCCCATTCCTCAGCCTGCACAAATGAACCACCTCTTTGTGGTGGAATCTGCTGAAGGCACGGTCAATCAGATCTGTTAGGACAGTTGGTTAGACAGTGGATGAAGGGCATTATATCTTCCTTAAAGTTTCCTTTCAGTCTCATTAGCATTCCAAATTTAAAGATCTCATCTCCTGCTACCAAACCAAAAGAAAAAAACAAACAGAAGCTCTTTATCTCAACATTTTTAACATAAATGTTTTATCTGAACATTTATGAGTACAACTTCATACACCTTGGAAAAAATCTGGGAAGACATGAGCTAAACTGTTTATAGATTCCTCAAAAGGATCCTCCAGTGACCAGAACTGGTACTTGAAGACTTTCATTTTTCATTTAGTACACTTTATCAGAGCCTGGATTTCTTGTGAGCATATATTCCAATAGAGGCTAATTAACTAGTTACATTTTTTAAAGTCAGTGTCTCATTCTTCTTATTTTCTTTCCTACAGGCAGAAAGATTTCATTTAGTTTTTGAAATGCTGTTTTACACCATGCTGCCAGGACCTGAGCATGACTGATACACCATGACATCTATGGCAGAGTAGTCTAGTACAGAACTTCTCAAACTTTCATTGGCAGACCAAGCACCTGGGATGTGGTTAAAATACAGAATCTGTGGTGGTGCCTATTGGATCACATGCTGAATGGTCCACTTCTCCCAGCCCCCCAACCCAAATACCCATATTATGGACCAACAGTACTAATCCTATCTGGGAATGTGAGAGAAATGTAGAATTCTAGACCCATCTTAAACTATTAAATCAGAATCTGCTTTTTAACAGGGTGTCCAGGGGAACCAATTGGCACATTATAGTTTGTGAGACACATCAGTACAGGGTATTTGGTAATGTCCCTTCTGAAATCCATTCAGGAAGAGAAAATAGCAATCTGAGGTTCTGGTGCTTTATACACAAAGAGAAAATACCTTAATATTAAAGCCACTCAGGATGACTGTAACATCTCTAGTCTAAATTTTAAAAAAATTTTAAATTAAGAAGTGCTCTACAGATCATGTGGGCTTTAGCTCACTGGAGGTGGGAGATGGATGGAATAAATGAACTCTGTCAGGATAGTTTTAATTCTGATATTTTTGAGTCAGGGAAAAGTTCCAAGATGGAGAAATGTAACTAGAGACTTTCTAGCAGTCAGGTGATGGGTTTACAGCTCTGGAGTAGGACTGCTGAGCTGGCAGAGACAGAGGGCATGGGTGCTTACCATGCAACTCAGCTCTTGGAATGAGTTTAGGGCCAATGAAGAGGGAGCAGAGCTCCTTCACCAGGCTGGGATAGGAGAGCTTGCTCCAATGACGCAAGGTGTCTCTGTCCAGCTGTGGGAGCTCCTCAGGCACGTAGAGACCCCCATCAGGTGCATAGCCAGAGAAGAGGGCTCCTTCAAAGTCGACCTGTGAGGCCATCCCCCTGGTGCTGGTATACCACATGATCCTGGAGGCCTGCAGAGGGAACAGTTGCAGAGGACCTGGTCTTCAAGTCCCAGCACTCCACAGGGTAAAACTCGAACAGCCACAGCCCCCACAGCTGGTCTCTGAGCCACCACTAACTGAGCTGTCTGTCCCAGACCTGCAGACAACAGATCTAACTTGAGTCTCTGGTACTATTCAGATTATGAACTTGATTCACTACCTTAGAGAAGAGTACTAGGAAATTCTGGGAAAAGAGAAAGCTCAGTCCACATGAGGTTGGTGTAGGATATTTGAAGAAATAGGCAGCTTTCCCCCCACATCCCCAGTACTGGGGTGTAAACTCAGCCGCGTGCTTGCTCAGTTGCTTAGTGTGTTTCCACTTGAGCCATGCCTCCACTCCAGCTTTTTGTGCTCATACTGGAGCTTGAACTGAGGGTCTGGGTGCTGTCCCTAAGTACTTTTGCTCAAGGCTAACACTCTACTACTTGAGCCACACGTCTACTTCTGGCTTTTTGCTGTTTAATTAGAGATAAGAGTCACATGGACCTTCCTGCCTGGGCTGGCTTCAAACCAGGATCCTCAGATCTCAGGATTGCCGGCATGAGCTACAAGCTTCAGACTAGCCACCTTTTTGATGATTATTTTGGAGGGAGAGGGTAGAGGTGTCCTTGACACCTGTGGAACCAGTGTGAGTTCTATATGGATTGTCATATGCCAGTCCTCTGGCATATGATATATGGTTCACCCAATTTAGAGCAGAGATGAGCTTAATCATCCAAGCCAGGAATCTGTAGACAGTGAAAAGGAACAGGGGGCATAGGCATGAGATATATGACCCCCTAGTATAGAAGTCTTTGTTAAAGAAAGGAAGTCAAGGTAACACCAAAAGACTACTGCAGTGGGTGCGCAATGCAAGCACAATGTCCACACACAGAAGCAGGGTGGGGAAGTCAGGGGCTAGCAGCGCCTTAATAGAGGAATGTAATTCTTGGCAAGGGTTAGTGTCCAGCAAGCTGTCTGAGAACCTGGAGTAGCAGGAAGAAAGTCTTGTGAGTTCACTTGATAGAGCTGGACTAAATAAAACCATGCAAATGAGCTACCCAAAAAACTTCTGCACACGTGTGGCCAGGGGCAGGGGCAGGTGGGGCAATAAGGATCGGCGGCAGGAAATATTTTCAGAGCACCTGAGTGGAATGGACCACGTGTGCTCTTGCTCTGCGCTCCCCGCTCAGTAGGATGCGGGCAAACTGTCCAAGAACAAAGGTCAGGGTTGACTCCAGCTCTGCCCGTGGGAGCACAGTGATGGACTGATTAGCCACGAACCCAGGCTCTTTACCAAGCCGGGAATTGTCCATGTCCTGTCCACCTGCCGCAGGGGGTGAGCATTCCCAGGCCAACAGAGCAAAAACTACAGAGCAACACCGCAGTGCACTGCAGAAGCCCAGGGAGAGAATCTGCTCGGGCAGTGGCGGTGAAGTTGAGGAAGAATGGACTGATTTAATGGGGCCTGCAGGCACCGGCTGCAGGACTGGCCTAAGTAAACCTTGGGGCCTACTGTGGTAGTCATCTTCCCTGCTACTCCTCTGGAGCTTAAACCAGAGCGAAGTGGGGAGGGGCGCGGACGGGGGGGGGGGGGGGGGTCCTCCCTTCGGGGACAGGCCTGCAGGAACACGTGGGCCTGGGTGGAAAGTTGGTCCCGGGAGGCCTGAGCTTCTCGCTGGGGCCTAAGCCTCCGGGCACAGAGCATCACCCCAAAGTCGGGGTTCACAGCCGAACCCCTACAAGGCAGGAGGCGCCCCCTCCCTCCCTCCCCCCATCCCCCCTCCCGGCTGCTCCAGCTTGGAGGTCACAGACGCAGCTAGCGCGGACTTCGGGCCGGGCAGGGCCGGGCTGCGAGGGCGGTCAGGGCCCAGACACGCCATCCAGGGCCTCAGCGAGGGGGCAGCGGGGCCGCGCGCGGTTACCGGGAGCGGCGCGCGGCGCAGGGGCAGCGGGGCTGGGGCTTCGAAGGCGGCGCAGCAGCCCGGACCCACAGCGTGACTTCCGGGAGGAGCCCGGGATTTAGGCATTCAATGCCCAGAGCAGGGGCGGGGCGAGGGGCGGGGCGAGGGGCAATGGGCGGGGCGGAGGCGTGTGACTGGGAAGATGATGATGAGAGTTGTCTACGAGAGAAATCTCTCGCTGGTGACCCTGCTAAAAGCTTTATTCACACCCAGGCTCTTAATCTTTGCCAGGAGGCTGAATAAGGGTAAAACCCTCATTTTTCACTTTGATAAAAGAAGGCAAGATAGTAGGAAGGACTCTTTGTCTCTGTCTCTCTAGCTCTCGCTCCATGGCTCTGGCCCGCGCTCTCCGTCTCTCTGTCTCTCTGTCTCCCTCGTGTGTGTGTGTGTGTGTGTGTGTGTGTGTGTGTGTGTGTGTGTGTGTGTGTGTGTGTGTGTGTGTATCTCCCTCTGTCTCCCTTGTATTGGTTTTAGGGCTGAATTCAGGGCCTGGGCCCTATCCCCGAGCTTTTTTACTCAAGACCACAGCTCTACCATTTGAGCCATACCTCCACTTCTGGCGTTTTGCTGTTTAATTGTAGATAAGACTCTCCTGACTGGGCACCCGTGCCTCAAAGCCAGTAATCCTAGATACTCAGGAGGCTGAGATCTGAGGATCACAGCTCACAGCCAGCAGGGTAGAAAAGTCTGTGAAAGACTCATCTCCAATGAACTAAAATAAGGCAGAAGTTGGACTGTGGCTCAAGTTGGTAGAGTGCTACCCTTGAGTACAAAGAGGCTCAGGGACAAAGCCCAGGTCCTGAGTTCAAGCCCCAGGACTGGCAAAAAAACAACAACAACAACAAAAACAAGAGTCTCCTGGATTTGTCTGGGATGACTTTGAACTAAAATCCTCAGATCTCAGCCTCCTGAGTGTCTAGGGCTCCAGGCTTGAGTCACTGGGGTGTGGCTGGCCCTTCTCTTTTGGTTGCTCCTCTAAAACATCAAATAGCTGACTAAACTCTTTCCCTCCCAAACTGGGACTAGAATCCATTGCATGGGTACCCTGACTTTACTAAAAAAGAAAATCTGTACATAGACCTATTCTAGGCAAAATTTTGCCTCCCAATTCATTTTGAAGAACGAATGCTAGAACCAAGAAAAAAATATCCTCCTGATACAGCCCAGTTCTTGGGATTCACATTCACACTCTTCTGCCCCATTCAGGCAGCAGTTTGAGTTTCTGTGCTGGACAGGTGCTGTCTAAAATTTATTCCTGGGACTGGGCTGAACTTAGTCACTATCCCAGATGGACCTGTTTCCTCCTTGCTTCTACGGATGACATTTCTCTAAAACTATGGCCTCTGTTTGATCCAATTACCTACTATCCAAACTTTGGCACACACATGGTGTCCAGCCAGCATACCTGCACAAGTCCATGTGGCCACCACTGCCTGATTGCTCTGGTGAGACTCAGATTCCAGAGTAGGGAGACACCAAGGGACTGTCACTGCTCAGTTATTGGACTGGCTTTTCAAGCACAAGCTGAAGATAGAGACTGGGCACTGTCCCTTAGTCTTTTCACTCAATGCTAGTGTTCTACCACTTGAGTCACATCTCCACCTCCAGCTTTCTAACTCAGAATCCAGAGAAACTGAGGCATGTGCCAAGATTCAATCCTGTTTGCTACACTACTGTGTGTGCAGGTGTGTATTGGTACTGGAGCTTGAAGGTAAGGCCTGGGCACCTACTGTGACTACATTTTTCACTCAAGACTAGAACTCTACCACTTGAGCCACACCTCCACTTCTGGCTTTTTGCTGGTTAATTGGAGATAAGAGTCTCATGAGTCCTACAGACTTTTCTGCACAGCTCAGCTACAAACCACAATCCTTGCATCTCAGCCTCCTAAACTGCTAGGATTACAGGCATGAGCAACCAGTCACAGGCTTGTTACAGTATTTATAACCAAGCCAATAAAGTCTTCTTAACCATCCAAGGGCCACAGAGCCTTCCTCAGGGCTCTCTCACCAGGCTCACATAATCCTAGAACACTCCACCATCCTATGGGCAGAAAGGCAGCAGAAGCACTTCTGTGAACTGTAGTTTGACTTCTGAAAGAAGGCTGGGACAACAGGGTTAATCATTAGGAGTTGCTGCCTAGAACACTGAGACTAGCAGGTGCATAAAATACAAAACTTCTGCATGGCCCAAGAGAAAGAAATCTCAGTGCAATCAGGAATAGTAGGGGTAGAGAGTTCTCAGACACTTCTGCACTGTAACAACATGTAATTTTTGTGAGGTTAAAAATCCCCTTGAGGGGTTGGGAAGATGGCTCAGTGATAGAGTGCTTGCCTTGCATGCCTGAGGCCCTGGGTTCAATTCCTTAGCATCACATAAGCAAAAAGAAAAAAGCCGGAAGGGGCACTGTGGCTCAAGTGGTAGAGCGCTAGCCTTGAGCTGAAGAGCTGAGGGACAGCGCCCAGGCCCAGAGTTTAGGCGCTACTACCGGACCAAAAAAAAAAAAAAAAATCCCCTTGAAGCTGGGTACTGGTGGCTCACACCTCTAATCTTAGCTACTCCGGAGGCTGAGATCTGAGGATTGCAGTTCAAAGCTAGCATGGGCAGGAAAGTCCTTGAGACTCGTATCTCCAATTAGCCATCAGAAAACTGGAAGTGGAGTGTGGAGCTGAAGAGCTGAGGGACAGGGCCCAGACCCAGAGTTAAAGCCCTATAACCGACCACAACAAACAAACAAACAAAAAACCTAAACCTCTCCTTGACATTGATTAGAATGTTTAGCTGCCTGTGGCTTTGAAGCCAGACTTTGAAAAGCCAAAATAAGCTTGAGGGGAAAACCCACAATTAGAAAACTGATATGTCTCAAGTTCAAAACCAAGTGTAGAATAAAAATGACATAGTACTAAAGTAAGTGTAAGAGGTGCTTAAAAGCTGCCAGGCTCTAGTGGCTCAAGCCTATTCGCCACGCCACGTGAAGTCTGCGTGAGAGATTGCTCCAGGCAAAGCATAAGCTTCAAGGAAGCATGCCTGCAGGAAGGGGGTGTTGGTTCAAGTCTTCCTATACACTTGGCTGCACCTATATTGCCTCTACTTTTATTCTTATTATATCCTTCTTGGTTGTACATTAGTTGCCTTTATTCTTGTTTTGGCTATTTTTCTATTGATCCACAAATAGAGCTTGTTGTTTCTTTCCAGTCCAATAGAGACGGCTTCTCTGAATAATAAAGACTAGGACTAAAGATTAAATGTGGACAATGCCCCAATCAATCTATCATCTGATGTGACGCTGCCTCCAGAAGCTCCTGCAACTTCACAAGCAGTTTTGCAGCTCACTCATAGTAAATATAGAAATTTAAAATTTCCAGAAAGGTTACAACAGGCAGAATTAATGAATTAAACTAAACCAGAAGGAGTTATCCCAGAAGCACAGAGAATTCTAGAAAAAGGGACCCCTGATAATAAAAGGAAAAGAAAGATTCCCACAACAGTTATGACTATGTTTGGTCCAGCTTACATTATAGGGAATAGATGGTGGTTTCCCACCAATATAAAGTTAGTGACATCACATTTCCTGAGCTGACCAATGAACCGTTACCTTATACAGGAGTTTATAAAGATAAAAATAGATGGATTTATGTAAAAGGAGAAAGAGTATCTTGGTACTCATTAGATTTTATGCAAAGATCTAGACCATTATGGTGTTTGTATTAAACAACAACAAGATAGTTTCAAATAACAATTAGAAATTTATGTGAACAAATATTGGGATTAAAATTATA